AGAGAAACTTGCAGCTTCCTGAACGTTTCGAGCACTGGTATGCCGATGGCACTTTTAAGACCGTTCCGCCACTATTTGAGCAGCTGTATACCATTCATGGAATGGAAGCCAACAACTCCTTGCCTCTGGTGTATGCACTTCTAGGAGACAAGAGGAAAGAAACGTACGCCCGTCTGTTGAGGAAGGTGAAGGAGTTAGAGCTCTAAGCTGATCCTCGGACTATTATGACTGACTTTGAGATATCAATGATAAACGCGGTCAACAGTGAGTACCCACAGGCAATTCATCGTGGCTGTTTTTTTTTCATTTTAGCCAGTGTATTTGGCGGAAAATACAAACAATCGACTTGAAGGAACGGTACGAGAATGATTCCAATTTTGCTCTAAAGCAGGGGTGCTCAACTATTAGGTGGAAAGGTCCGTTAATTGATGTACCGGCGGTCTGGCGGTCCGGAAGTAAAATTCCTGCGCGAAAGGTGGCATTAATTGTCAGATAATGTCGCACTTAGGATAAGGGTGTTTCTATGGAAATGATTAGCTATGAAATTTTTGATGGGGGGGGGGGGGGGGTTGCAATGCAAATGCGAAAGAAAGGATTTCTTCCAGAAAAGAGGGATGGGTAACTTTGGAACGTCTTCCCTGCTATGAGACCATTATTGCCAGACGGGAAAACCCAGTAAAGGGGCTGGGAAAAGAAGCCAAAGAGATACGTAGGGTCTATGGTAGGTTTGGTAGGTTGCCCCCTGACAGCAATAGGAATCATGAAGAAGACACATTACAAATTCTTGACCCGAGACCTGAGTTTCTTAACACTGTGAATTTATTTTTAGTTTCACATACTGAACGCATCAATTTGAATGAATGGGCAACGATTGACTACAAAGACCATTCAAGGCAGACTCAATGAATTCCCTACAAGGATATGAAACTTTGGCTTGCACCTGAGGCTGTACGTGAGAAGTTATACGTCAACTTCGTTTTGAGAAATTTATTGCGAATTCCGCCTGATAAAACTAAGCGTTCCTCATATATAACCGATTCAATGACCCGAAGGAAAAGCTCTATCAGGAAGCTGTGAAACTGTGAAGCGAGCATTCTTGCGGCAGAGTTAAAAGTTGTGTTCGCCCCCAGCGCACGTGAAATAAAAGCCAATGCAACTGATTAAATAGAGGTCAGTTTTTGGAACACATTCACTTTCTTCTGTTAGTTGCGTTGCCAATGACTCCCCTGAATTGCTTCAAGCCGACACCATTTAGATTTATAGTCGTCATTCGTGGTGCTGGGCACCGCACGGGCAGGCACAGCTCTGCAAGACGGGCAAAGTAATACTAGCGCTTTCGGCATGCAAAATTATTACACACATATTCATTGTTCAAAAAGGAGAAATTATAATAATTTTTGGAGACCAAAAGGACACATGGATTGGGCGTCCAGGCCGTCGTCAGGGTCGCCGTCCTCCAATATTTGCACATCGAATGTGGAACTGCTATGATGGCGTGTTTCCGGGGTTGCCCAAAACTAATAACATCGAAGGATGGCACCGAGAATTCCAGCAACAGATCTCTGCAAGCCACCCCAGTATTTCGAAGTTTATTTCTGGAATCAAGAAGGAGCAGAGCCTGAATGAGGTACGCATAGAGCAGTACACCAGTGGCCAGTACCTCGTCAGCGGAAGAAATATCTGGACAGTGCAGAAAGGTTGAGGCGGGTTGTTGGCGGTTGGGCTCAAAATGTAAACATTTGTGACTACTTGCGTGGAGTTGCACACAACATTGGATACTAATGATCCGGCTAAAAAAGACTTCGTGCGGAATGATTTCGAAAATTTCGCTGTTCGAAAAATATGCAATTCGAAAAATTGTATTCGAACAATTGATTTCAAAAAATTAACCTAGAATCTTTTGGAAGTGGATAGTACTGTATATACGCTCATTGCAGTAAAAAAAAAATATAATTTGATTATGAGCATTCAATTTTGTGCGGATGTTGGGAGAAAGTATGTTGACGTGATGTGCAAGAATGAAATTTATAGCTTTGACTTGTAGGTGACTGAAAATGCTTTGACCAAGCATATTGATCACCCCTCGCACCTCAAAAGAAAAAACAGAAATTTCTGCCCTTCATTAACGCCGGTATGTCGGAATTACTACTGCTGTCCTTTGCAGCCTGAAATCGGGCAGGGCAAAGTGAGTTTTACGACGCTCACATTGAAATAAGATTAATCAAAAGTGAATAAAAAGCAAAAGATTCCGCAATATCATACGAATATTTGAATAAATGGCTTTACACCTCAAAATAATTTTCTCGGGTATCATGTCCGTTTAGGTATGTTACATATGACCTCTGGGGTTGCACACCATGAAGGCAATACATGAGGGAAACCAATTACATTGCACTTTTCTGTTTCTCACATCAATGGCACTCCCTCGTGTTGCGGGCAGGATGTGAAGGATGAATAAGACTTGGAGTGGATCTTTGCCTCAAGGATCTGAAATCCGTAATGCAAAAAAGAAACAGCTGAGTTGGCATGGTGATAAAAATTATTACAAGGGAGTTTCTGGGCTCCCCACATTCCACAATGGTTCAAAACTCGTCGAAATTCTGGTCCTAAGTCGAAAAATGATGTTGAAATAAGCATAAACATTTTCTTAATTTTGTATTATATTAGAGGTGCTCATGTTCCAGGTGGAAAATGAAACACACGCCGAGATTTTTGCGTTTATTTCTCAACTTCCAGATGAGGCAGAGACGTAAAAATCATATCACGTAAATCTCTATCTTTCCTTTCGGCTCCGGGAAAACGATACATTTCTAACTATCAAAGCACACCCACAGTGGCTGTTCGACTAAGACGACTAAGACACCGCTTTGGTTGGTAGGAATTAGTTTTGATGGAGCCAAGAGGAAAGGTAGATGATTACTTGGTATGATTTGTCGGGCTCTGTCTCAACTGGAAGTTGAGAAATGAACGCGAAAATATCGGCGCGTTTCCTTAGCGCTCCGGTATTACTAAAACCTTACATTTTTGAAGTGTTCCCTTTCTCAACTAACGGAGTAATAACTTAAAGTTTTGGGAACTTCGAGATAGACACTGAAGTAGTTTTGCAGAGATCAGTCTCCTGGCAATTGCAGTATTAAAGTAAAATAGCCACTTCATGGTGTGAGATTGAAAGTGACTGAACAAAGGTGCTGGTAAGAGACCGATAGTAATTAGCATTGTGAGAAGTAAGGTTTGATCGAAAATTGTGCAATTCTAAAGCTCATTTTTTGTAGACTAATACTTTTTTTGCTGAGGGAGAAACTTGTTCAGCAGAAATTTTTGTGTCAATAGATGCCAAAGATTTCTTATTTTACAATTAGTCTCTTATATGTATGTCATTGTGTAATGATATTTCTAGCTGCTCGCTTCTACCCGTTTGGTTAGTATGGCTAACAGCATATTACCGTCTGCAGCGTTGTTTCGCATGCGGAAATTTCGTCAATAGAAACCATGCAACATGTCTTGATGTAAGCCTTTTCTACAATTGGGACTGCCGTGAAGCGTATGATTTGGAGTGATTTGGTTTCAAAATAATGAGGAAAATTTATTTAGAGAGGCCAAGGCAGCTCCTCGGATTAAGTACCTTCTCATTCTTAGTACATTCTTGGCAATGTTTTTCAAGGAAGAAAGCAAGAGTTTTCACAATAATTTTGCCTGAAATTTACGAAGTGGAATATATTTCTTATACAGCGTGTCCACAATGTCTTGTTACCCCTGTGCAATTTAGGATTTATCTGATTACAGTTAATTTTTTATTGCATATACGTTTATTACATAAAACATAATTATATTACATGTGCCTTTACACAGCTCATGCATCCAACACGTCTGTTTGTGCACCATCATTCTCATGACAGAATGTTTCTACTCCAAGTTCCGGGTGACATTCTGTGTGACGAATATTTTCAATGGTTTTGCCATTACCGCTCATGGACTCAGGTACTAGCCAATATGCGTTCTTCAATCGTAAATCGCTAGTATCACACATTTTCAATTTGAAGAGAAAATAGAAAATCAGTTAGTAAGGTATTAGCAAACATCACAGAATATACAATATAGAAAAGTTTGCAGCTGTTGCTATTTAATCCATTAGTGTTCCAAACTTGTAACCTTGACCTATAATTACGATGTGCAATTATAACTGTAACTATAGCCTATACCCAATTGACTCCTGACCATATATCTAAAAACATGTGTCGTTGCAAAATTTTTTAGAAGGCTCCATAACCAATCGCATGATTTGAATTAAAAAACGGTTTCAATTTTCAAGAGAGATCTACAGGTGATAAGGATTTCTTTACATCAGGTGTGTCATACTCAAATCAGTCGGTGGGCCGCATTTCTTACCCTGAAGATGCCTGCTGGCCTCACACTGGCTCGTGCGAGGGGGTGCTGAGAGTCAATCCAGGCAGAAATTTCAAGAACAGATGGCGGACCGGATGAACCACCTCCGCTCTTCCCCTTCACTCCCATTCATTTTCGCCACTCCCGCGATCTATGTGGATGCTCCGTGTGTCCCGCATACCTGGACCCCTCTCTACCGTGATTGCTTCTGGGATATGCATTTGGCTCTCCCCACGTTCTTATACGTTCCACATGTAGAGACGGGAGTTTTTCGTGCTCAGTGTTTTATCTCAGACTTTGTTGCCTATATCGGAAGGAAAGGTCCGACTCGGTCACATTTCGAATCCCTGTTCCCCGTCACGTAACCTACATCTCTGACGGCAAGTTTTAGCCGCAACGCGACGAAAATGTGACGTGGAACTTCTCGAGATTTCAAACTTTCCATCGTTGCCGGTTTCGCTTGGGTCCGATTTTTGGAGGCATTCTCCCGGTTGGGGAGAACCTCTGACCTATAATATCTCAAAGGGGAAAGTCAATAATAATAATAAACGAACTTCACAGCAAACTCAGTGGGCTTCATGACCCCTAAAAACAAATAATCATATTTTTGATGAAAAATGACCCAGGTAGGGTTGCCACCTTTGAAATTAGCACTATATGGACATATGGTCTGTGGACGTATGGAAATATGGACAAATATATGAAGTATACTTGCATTCGTGGTTCTGCTGCAAATACCTACAGCCACCTTTAGCCAAAGTATCAATTGATGCTATAAGAGTGTGGCATACCACTCTGGCTCGAAGAAAACAGTGGTTTTAGCTGCTATTAAGTTTTATTAACTAAAAAATATTTAACAAGTTTAAAGTATGGATGAAGTAGTGTCCATATTAAGACAAGTTTGCAGTATGAACATTGCATCTGAAATATGAACTGTCCATACTAATTATGAACGGGTGGCAACCCTAGACCCAGGTGACCCAAGGCCAAGACCTATGACCCATCGGTCCCGGGGTCACCAAACCCCTTCCTATCCTGTCTGGTCCTGATGCCCCACCCCAAGGAAGCGAAAGGTCCAAGTTTCTGGGTCAGGGGTCGCACCGTATAGCAGGGCCGCCCAGCGGATTCCAGGGGCTTGGAACAAAACTTAACCCGAGACCCTTTGAGGGCCCCCTTGGGACAACTTGATACTCGGGGCCCGGGGCAGATTGCCCCCTTTGCCCCCCCCCCCCCCCCCCCCCATTCCGGCCCTGCCCATACCTATTTTCANGGGGCCCCCCCCCCCCCCCCCCCCCCCCCCCCCCCCCCCTCTGGACAGCCCTGCCGTCTAGGAGAAGCAGCCTCACAGATACGCTCCAATTAGGACCAGCTTAACAAGAATAGTCTCCATCCATGGGAATCGTTCATTCCAGGAGGCTAAAAAGAATAGAACTGCAATATAAAGCTTTTCAAATCCCCTTTTAACAGTGGTGTATTTTATGAAGCAGAGGGGCTCCCTTCCTCCTTTGAAAATGCCAAGTCTCTCTCGTAGGATTTTTTTTTTCTCCCTCCTAGAACCCTTGTTCAGCACCCCCATCTCTCATCGGCCCTCGTAGTATTCATTCTTTTACCTTGCTTGCCCTAGCCAATGAGCCAAAATACGCCATTGCCTTTCGGCACTTCTTGCACAGTAACCCTAGTAATCTTACCCCTTACACACAAATGGCAGCCTGACGGAGGCCGCTGATCCATTGGCGTTTTGAGCACTGTTGCAAGAAATCCGGATTTCGTATCGTGGTTAATGGCCTACCTCCTCGGGAATCTTGTCAATGATTCCCATATTACTAGCATTTTCACATGTTGGTTCTTCTTATTCCACTTTCTTCCACTTGCACCGGTGTCCAAACTAGAGGCAATGTGATCGAAGATGGAATATCTGTCGGAATCAGCCCTGACTATCTGATGCCAACACTTTTCAACCTGGCGCTCTCCTTCTCGGTTAACATATGTGAGGTTCATCTGAGATCACCCTCTGTTGGGAAGCCTCAGCCGCTCGATGGAACGAAAGCCGAATGCATTTTATAAATCCTATCCTAACCTAGGCGTAATGTTAGTCAAATCTCACCTGAGTATAGAAAGCAGTTGAATATGGTTCAGACACTCGAGTCGAATTCGAATGAAAAAACTAGGCTAGTGTCAAGGTGGCCTAATATGGGGGCCGGTGTCCGCCTATTTTAGGGGTATCTAACTAACTTTCAGGCAGTAGGCTTATGCAGACGTTATACTGAGTAAAAGCAATCAAGTTTTCGTAATTGCGCAGATGTGGAGTTACGATGGTATTGCCTTCTTAAAGCCTAGCGACTGATCGACTGCTCATGCTAGCCCTAACCTAGAACAAGATTGTTTCTGACCTTGACTTGTTATGCTAAAGAAGTCGGAGTTAAGGGAGTCTTCCTTTCACCTTCCTGGAAGAAATGGTGTTCCTTTCATTCAAGAATGAATTCTTTTCATCAGTCTTGTGACTGGACCATTTCTTCTCTCCTTTTGTTTGCCTGTTTTTCTGCATTCAGTTTCCTAATTGTACCGTCAGTTGTGACCTGAGTTTCTTCTACTTCTTTGTCCCTTCATGCTCCATTGCTGTTCAGATCAATTCCTGTTGTCTTAGCTCTCTGTTGATATCAGATATCCTTTAACATTGGAATGTCCCAATTCTCATCTGCAATATCCTTTTATCAGTTCAGTTAAGTCAAAGATTGATTTAGGCATGTGTTTGACCAAATTCACTCTACAATAAAGTGCAACCAATGATGTCCATGCAATGAAATGACCAGTGATAAAACTAGTTCTGATGAAAAATTTTAGGGCATGTAGAGTGAAAGGCTGGATCAGAACTTGAACCTGAAGCCTGTTCCTTGCCTCTGTTAAACTTAATCTAAATCTAAGTCTAAAATCTAAACTTGACCTGAATTCCTTGTTAAAAGTAGCCAGCAGCCTGTTTCTCACCTTTGCTATACTTAATCTAATCTGAGAGCAGTCTAAAAGCAAAGAGCCTCTTCTTCACCCAGACTCTTTCTAAAACTTCATCTAAAAGGGGGAAATTTTTTAGACAAGTCAGAGCTGGTCTAAATGTTGGGATGACAGGAGTGAACTCTCATTGTTTGTTCGATACCATATGGGAGTCCATGATCAGTGCGCAAAAATGTCATAATTATTAATGTCTTCTAAGCTGCAATGTAGGTCAAGTGGACCAAAAAATTGCATCTTGTTAGGGGCTTTATAAAACCTAGTGCTGAAATGCTAGATTTGTCTTCTTTTTTTTTTACATCACACAGAAAACACTCTAAAATTTGTTTCTTGAAAGTTAGGAAGTCACTTGGTTGTTTTAGTAAAGGCAAGTCATTGAGACTTCAAATGTCATTTTTCCACATATCAAGCTGCACTGATTTCAGCGATGCTCAGTAGATGTGTACCATTTTTCACCCAGAAGCCTACTTCTTTTTTTTATATTCTTATTGCAGTATTCTTGACTGCAGTCCCATTGTGTTATATTTTTCTTGGGAAAGTCTATGCCTTAAAGGTATATTTTCAAAGGAAGGGGTAGCAAGGCTTCACAGAACAGTCAACAATTTGATTTGATGGAAATAGTTACTTTTTATGACTGTTGCTTTTATCCAGACAACCTAGACACTTGAAACTTTGTGACAAGACAAATTTTGTGGCATTTCCAATGTGATACCAAAAAAATTATGAACCTAGAATTTCCTCAGTTGGTTTCATAAGGTGTCAAATTGGATGATTTTTTATGCACCACCAGACAACCCACCCACCCCACAAATGTGTCAACCCACAAATAACTTCATTCCCAAAGTTAATGTATCTCTTTTAATATTTGCCCCACAAGGAGCCATTTTTATTGCATGGCAATTAAGACTGAAGACTTGTGAATAAGCTGCAGGTTTCACAGTATCATAGAGATATTAGATAAGGAAGAGTCTGTTTAGGTTAGAGTCCGTTTAGATTCCAGTCTGCACTACTTTCATGGTTTTGAAAAAGATGTCTAGAGCATGTGAAGAGTCATAGAGTCATACTTATATGTTAGTATGCATCAATCACCAGCTTAAAGTCTCAAATAACCCATTAAAGAATGGGTTATTTGAGACAGAAGATATTGTTCATACTACCTGTATGCTTAGTGATTAGCCAACTGTAGATGCCATGCCATGTTGACTGGCACTGGAGTGCCTTCTTTCTGCATTATGCACTTAAGAAGTGGGCTTTGAGATATCATTGGTATGATTGAGATGTTATTGTATATGTTTACTTAAGGACTGGTGTTGGGCAAATTAACCCTTTGAGAAGTATGCCTGTATATTTATGGCTGATGCTATCCTGTCATACATATATTTACAACAGGGAATCTTGCAGGTATTAAAAAAACACTCCTCAAAGGGTTAAGAATGAGAGATTAGTTGGATTTAAGGTGGCTTGCTTCTTGTGACAGGGCCAGTAACCATTATATATTTCCAAAAAGACCTCATGATTCCTGATTTCAATTCAACAATGAGGTGAATGCTTATTGATGGTAATCAAGATGAGCATGTCAGAGTCAAGGAAAAAGATGTTCTGCTGAGTTGAAGTATAGTGTAGCATCTACAGCAGTTACATGAATTAGAGGGAGATATAAGAACAAATATTAATTAATCTATGTTTGGCCTCAAAATGTCTCCAGACATGCCACTTAAAAATTTTAATGTTCCTGGAATAGAAAATGAATGGGAAAGAGAAAGCAAATGTAACAACATTATTTAAAAAAATGGAGTCAAGTGGATTGATAGTAGGTAAATATTGAAATTGTAGGTTTAATAATAAAACGAGCACAATTGAAATACAATGAATGTTTGCATGATTTGTTTCAGGCCTATATGTAATATAATAAGTAGAGTACAAGTATGGGGTTATTTATTGAGCAGTGCAAGCATAACAATTATTACCACTCTTTGTGGTAAAAGTAATGCAGTGAAAATGCACATGCCACGGATCACTGTAATTGAAAGCCCTGAAAGAGGTGCGGAGGATCAAGAATACAAGACCCAAGCAGCACCCCTGGATTTCTCTGACTCCTTTGACTGGAAACCCTATCTAAAAAATGCTGTCAATGGCAAAAGTGGAAGCACCCATAGCAGCAGTTCATCGATGCCTTTCTCTGCTTCCAGTGTGTCTTGTTTTAAGCATGTGAGTTGTGCTCTCTCCAATGTTTTGTTGTACATTAATTTTGATGGTTTGCTGAAAAATGCATGAATCCTCTTCCATCTCCACCAGGCTCCAATGCACAATGCTTGGGAAAACATATCTGTAGGAATGAAACTTGAAGTGTGCCATCGAGAAGGTGCCACAAGTCCAGGAACAAATGCACAGCAATCTTATTGGGTTGCAACAGTCATTCAATTGGCTGGTTATGAAGCCTTGCTTCGATATGAAGGATTTGGGCAAGATTCTTCCAGAGACTTTTGGCTTCACTTGTGCATGCCTGATGTAGTACATCCTGTTGGCTGGTGTGCAACTCAAGGCAAACCACTTATTCCCCCAAAGGGTATGTTGTTTTGTCTATTACATCTAGGTCTAGGCATGATTTCCTTGAGTCAGCTTTCTTCCATTTAGGGTGATCAGATGTCCTGGTTTTTGTCCAGGTTTTCAAAGAACTTTAATATGAAGACACAGTCTCTTGACCGCTCTTCCCAGTTCATTCCACTTCACACAGCAAGATTTCAAGAAAAGAGTTGTATAGTAGATAAATACCAAAGAATTCAACCAGTTGGGGAAAAAATTGGTTTTATGAATTTGTTTCATTATAGTTTTTGCAAGTCCTGGTGGAAAGCCTGGTGTCTAGTTCATTTTATTACCATTTGCTGTTCTCATAAAATTTTTTTGCTCTTGTGTTAGGATTGGTGTCAAAGAACATCGAATGGAAGGAATTCCTTGTGAAACGCCTAACTGGTGCAAGAACGCTGCCCCTAGAGTTCAATCGTCAAGTGAGAGACTGTGTCAAGTCTGAGTGGAAGCCAGGAATGCGAATTGAAGTTGTTGATCGTGAGAGGATTGCTCAAGTGCGAGTTGCCTCCATCTCTAATGTTCTGGGTGGAAGACTCCATCTCCGCTATCAGGGACTCAAAGAGGATGACCCGGGTTCGTCTAGTCGAGGCAACTGTGGAAACTTTATATTAATATTGTTAGCTCCTTGGTCTCTGTTTTGACTTGAGTGCTAGGTAACAGGTAAACCCTTCATCAGTCGTAAAATAACCTGTGGTTTCTTCATTCACAGGCATGTGGTGTCATGAGAAAGCAACTATCCTGCATCCTGTTGGCTGGGCTCATTCAGTGCGGCACGACATCTGTGCTACTAGCCGTTACCTGTCACGGGTGGAAGAGGAGAAGCGGGATGAGCGAGATGCCCCGCGTCATCTCATACCCAAACCTCTATGGAGCCCTCCTCAGGGTGAGAAGGGCCCCATTTTGTTTCAGGAAGGACAGATGCTGGAAGCCATTGATCCCTTGAATCTCTCTACCATTGGAGTTGCTTCCATCTCCAAGGTTTGTAACCTTCTTTTTACCATCACCCTTTATGCCCCAATGTTCTTTTAATCATCTCTGAAACTGCAGATACTGAATGATGGATATATGATGGTGCGCATGGAGTACTATGATGATGATGAAGAACTTGACTCATTTTGCCACCATATGAGCAGCAAGACCATTTTCCCAGCTGGGTTCTGTGACCTCCATGATATTCCCTTGATACCTCCCAAATGGTGGGAGAAGCCCACTTTCTCTTGGAGTGAATGCCTAAGCTCATCTGATGCCAAGGCTGCCCCTCCTCAGCTCTTCAAGAGGGTTCATCTTCACTTCATTCTTGAGTTTTATTATTGAAATTACTAGCATTTCTGTTAAGATGCTGCAATCATTTTACAGGACACCCCAGATCATGGCTTCGAAGAAGGGATGAAGCTGGAAGCTGTTGACTCCATGGACCCCAAGCTCATCTGTGTTGCCACAGTTGCCCGAGTTGTGGGCAGGCTCCTCAAGATCCATTTTGATGGATGGGAAGAAAACTTTGACCAGTGGGTTGATTGTGAAAGCCCAGACATCTATCCCATTGGCTATTGCCTACTTGTCAAGTATCCCCTCCAGGCTCCCCGTGGCTATGAGAAAGGTATGACATTAATAAAATTTGTAATACCATGATTAGGAATGCAGGGATGTCATTTTGTGTAGGAACCATGACTAAGGCTGGGAGGAGGAAGGGGGGATCACGTGGGCGCAGGAAACGACGGGGGAGACGGAAAACAGTTGAGATAGAGAAGGAGAAGGTGGATGAGAAAGGTGGAAGAGAGGAGGAGGAGGAGGGAACCAGTGAGGGTGAAGACATGGAGGATCCCCTTGCAACAAGTCTTCCTGACCCCCCTCATCTCAATCCCCCTCCTGAGATGATTCAGGATGGAGAGGAGACCAAGGCAGATGTGAAGAAGGATGTAGTGTTGGATATGTCCGATCCTTCCTCTTGGAGTGTGGCAGAAGTAGCTGAGTATCTCCAGATCAATGACTGCCCTCTCTATGCTCAACGCTTTCAGGATGAGGTACAAAGTTTTTTATTTTAATTCCAGCTTGGTGACTGCTTGAATTGCTTGCAATATAACTGTTCCATTCCTGGCAGGGAGTTGATGGGAAGAAGTTCTTGTACCTGAGTCGAGATGAAGTGTTAGAGTTGGCTGGAATGAAGCTTGGACCCAGTCTGAAGATTCTGAATCTCATCAAGCAGCTGCGAGTCCGCATGAATCCTGCCCTCTCTCGTCAGATCTTCCTTCACAAATAGCCTACTCCCATCCTGTCTTGCCCAAGTCCTTCATTATCACTGCCAAACTCTCACAGTATTTTTGTGCTCATAGACATGTGCACAGATTTATCATGAGTTTCATCACAAAAGTCAAGGATATAGAAGTCATAGGCCTAGGACTTTTGTCCTTCATACACACCAGTGTCCCAAGTCCAGTTGACATTCAGTTGCAGAAATGATTTTAGGGAGCTTGCTGTTAGTGATTCTTCTCTTACTTTCTAAATCAGACTGTCTTGTGCTAGGCCCCCTCAAGACAATGATAATGTACGGAAAATGATGATGATAATGTGATATTTGGTTTGGGTATGAAGCAATCAACAAGTGAAGCTAGATTCACAATATGATCCGAAGCCCCTCCCCTGCACAGTGAATTGGTCTCATTGACTGCTGTATTTGAGAGTAAGGGCTATGTGTTTTGTGAATGCTGCACTCAGTTGAAAGGCCAGTTTCAAGTTGTTACCTCTGTTTTCATTCAGTCCTTCAGTACAAAACTCTGTCACGTGCATGATTTCTCTTTGGAATAAATGTGACGATTTCAGTGAGCTGCTTTTCAATTTTGAGGTCCCCTTAAAGTCCACGTTTCAAGGCTTGTATTTTGACTTTTTCCTGAGATGAGTGTGGTGTTTAAAGCCTTTAGTGTTTCATCTGTCTGCTTTTTTATTTTTTCCAAAATTAAGGGAAACTTGAGCTATTTTCAGATTCAGTTCTTACAAGAGAAGCTGAAGGAGAATTCTGAGTTGGCTGTGAGCTTCAAGAGTAAGAATCCCTCTCATCACAATCTCAAATCTGTATAGCCCAATTTCACAAGGATGAAAAGTCTTCACAATGGCCCCAGCTACAAAGTGTCTCTTTGTAGCACCCAGTATTTGGACTGGGAATTGGAGCTTACCATCATCTCCATTAAAATATAAGTTACTTTCCCCATTTATTTTTCATTTTATGATGCAATATTTTTTACTGGCCTTTATGCCAAAGGATTAGTTAATTATGGAACCATTTCTTCTTGGAGCTCACAACCTTTCCAAGAGAAGCCTGTGTGCCATAGATATTCATACCACTTGCAACTTTTCTATTTCTGTGTGCCTAAAAGCAGCAAGGAAGAAGATTTTGTAGCTATGTGCCAAAGTCTCTATGGTGACTAATCTTGGCTGTTTAACACATTGACGACCAGCCTATTTTTGCTTGTCCGCCACGTGGGACCACGCGCATTTTTTTTGTCAAAAAATGTGTCCTGCCATCAGGACGCATGGTCCCAGAAAACATTTTTTTTTGCCGAGTTTTTTTTAAATGTTGAATTTTTTGGAATTTTTATCAGTGATTATGAAATCATAATCTTCTGGAGCGTTCTCAACAGTTCCAGNGTGATTATGAAATCATAATCTTCTGGAGCGTTCTCAACAGTTCCAGAGGGTATTCATTGAAAAAAAATCTGCATCCTGGCATCAGGACGCATTGTCGCCAACGTGTTAAAATGAATCCTTTTCCAAGTCAAACGGCTTATCATTCAAAAACTTGTCTGGCTGACCATATGGTAGAAATGATTTTAAAAAACACCAATGCCCTCTTACAACTCTTACTGTAATCAAATAGATTAGTGTATATGAAGTCGCTGAAAGTAAGTGTCTGAAAACAAAACCCAGCAACATGAATTGGTTAAGGTTGATACTGGAGTGAATCCATGTCTGTCCAATGCAAACAGCTGTCAGACTTGAAGATTCTAGGTTACTGTCAAGAAGAATGGGGATACATCACAAATATTCAGGGAATAGTTGCAGTAAGCCAATGTGTCTTCTTAAGCTACAGTTTTTCCAAGAGAAGTTATTGGTACAGGAAATACAAGACTTTGATTTGATGTGAATATTTATGACCCACCCTGTATTCAGTGCAGTTCTTTTTTTTTCAGCCCATTTTTCATAATCTCAAAGCCACACCTCTTCTGCACCATCAACGGTTTCCCTTTCTCTTGGTCTGGTATGATAATCCTGCTAGAGCTATACAGGGTGTCCACAAAAGCATCATACAAATTAAATCCTTAATAGCTTAATTATTATAGAAGGTGTAAAGATGAAAGGTACAGCAAAATTAAAGTCACATCATCAGATTTTCTATTGAAAGTTTCATCAGGTCACTTCAACATGTGCTCCATGTGTACCATGTAAAATGTCCAGACAGAAACAGGAAAGTTGCTTCGTCTGTAAAGATAATTCTCTTCAGAAAATCAGGATCTTCTTCCAACCTTGACAGCATATCTACTGCAAAGTCATATTGATCTTCTCTGTCACGTTTGTAAATTTTTTGGACTATTTAAATTTTGTGAGCATGCAAACAAAATCTACGGTGAAGAATTTTATGAACAGTTGAATGTGGCATCACCAATTCTCTGCTTGTTCATCTTTAGATGAACAAGTAGAGAATTGGTGATGCCAGGCTTTCATCTTTATCATCTTTTCATCTTTCATCTTTCATCTTTTCATCTTTAGAGGATTTCCCTGGACTATCAGTGAACGCTTCTCTCACCTGTTCACCATAAGCATCTGAAGTTCTTGGCTACCTGGACTTTTTTGTTTCTGCATACATCCAGTTTCCAAAAACTGTTCTTTCCAATAGTAAATTGATTGTCAGCCAGGTGGGTCTCTGCTATAAACAGCATGAAATCTTTGCTGCACCAGAGTCACGTAATTCAACTCAACTAACCATCAAACACATTTTGCTTTTTCTTGAACCTTCACCATTTTAACTAGCTCCAGAGCTGCCAAATGCACAATTCATACCTGAAAAAAAAACTCAATGTGACTTTAATTTGTTGTAAGTTTCACCTTTTCATCTTCTATAATAATAAAGTTATTAAGGATTGAATTTGTATGACTCCTTTGTGGGCACCCTGTATTTTGTCTTTGCTTTAGCCTACAAGGACCAGTTACATTTTTGTGGCTGTTTTTGGTCCATATATATTTTCAAGCACTATAATATGTGAGTATACAAGTCCCCAATTGTGTGGTAATATAGTCCTGGAGTTGGTTTTGTCATTCTTGTATCCTAGAGTGGACTGAAGGGAAGACAACCAAAGGTGTAGTGTAGGGCCTTGTCAGAGAGGAACTTGCTACAATACTTCTGCATTAGTCAGTAGAGACTTTGAAGGATTCCAAAATTTCTTTATAATTTTTCAGCAGTCAAAAGATTCAAGAGGTGTTGACAGAAAGGAAACTTGACAGAATGCTTTACATCTGTGTTATTGGATGGGGATTGCAAAGGACCTAACCCTTGAATCCAGAAAGTTTTCATTGAAATCTTCAAATTTCAATTTTGAATTTCCTTTTTGTCGATTTTGTCTATTGCCTCATGCAGGAAATTTCTTGCAAGAGAAAAAGATTAAATAAATAAATGAAAAGAAGGTGCATAGAATAATCACCTTTATTTAATGCCATGTAATTATCCCATTTTTATCATCAATGGAATCCACCATGTTTAATACACTTTTCTGTCAAAAGAAAAATTCTGGTAAGCCTTCACATTTTGTATCTTCCAAGATGCCTTATACCAGTGCAGAGGCTGCTAAGGAAGAAAACATGGAGAATATTCAAGAATGAAAAATATGAGTGTTTAACCAACAAGATATAATTTTTTCAAGGAAATTGTGTGATACGCACCACCTTTCCTAGTGGTGGATGAACGTGGATGATGATGGATGACATTGAAAGTGATGAGGATGAGGAGGAGACCAGTGATCTCACTGGTTTTCTCTTTGGGAATATTGACACCAAGGGAAATCTGGAAGAGAATGACCTGTTTGATGAAGAGAGCAAGTCTCATCTCCACTCACTCCGCAAACTCGGCCTTGGGAATATTCTTCATGATGTTGTGGACTCTGAGGATGAAGAGCGAGCACAGGAAACAGATGACAGAGATGAAGATGATGATGAGGAGGATGAGGACCTACCTCACAGATCTAAGTCTCATAGCAAAAAGGACAAAGGTTAGCTTCTGGCTTCCATATCTGCTTATTTCTCATTTCTAACTGCTGCTTTTCTTGTAGGTTGGCAAGAGGATGCCAAATCTCCCAGTGCTGAAGATTTCTTTGAAATGTCTGAGTTGGCAGAGGATGAATCCCCAGCTGTGGAAGTCATATCACGTATGGCACAATATTATGCATGTTCCCTAGATCATATTGTTTAATGACTTTCCTCAGAAGTCTAGGCAAAACAACTTATATGCCATCTGTTGTCTGGGATTCATTGCTGTTTCAGGATACAATGATTCAGTCCTCATGCCTCCACCAGCTGTTCTTCCATGTCACATTAGTGCAGATGACAGGAGGTACTCTTGGAAGCTGAACACTCCCCTGGCTGCCATGCTCCCTTCCAAGTATGCACACCTTGATGTCACCGACCTCTTTCCTGAATTCCGACCCAACAAAGTAACTAATCTTTTCTCTCATGTCTAATTGAGTCAATTTTCCAGGAGTCCTACAGTGGTTAATTTTTTGTCATAGGTCTTGCGGTTCTCAAGGTTGTTTGGCCCTGGGAAGCCTAGCAGCCTCCCTCAGATCTGGAGAGGAGTGAGGAAGAAAAGACGGAAGAAGCGTCCATCGGGAAGTGCAACCGACGAACATCGTCATTCTTCAGATGGGGAGGAGAAAGAATTCCGTCTCCACCTTGCCTCTACACCTCCACGGGAAGACTATCCCTCAGATGATGAGGAAAAATTTCTCCATCCCCTTGAATGTCCCATTGGAGGAAGTCAGGGAGGGGATGGGAAAGGGAAGGAAGAGAAAGGCCCCAAAATGGCACCTTGGAGATTTGGGCCTGCTCAACTTTGGTATGACATGCTAGATGTACCTGAGACTGGAGATGACTTCAACTATGGCTTTCACCTTCAACAGGTTTCTTGTGGAGCTATTTTTTGCTGGTATTCTTATGTCAGATTTATGTAACATGAGCTGTGATGAATCCTAGGAGGGGGATAACATGGAGGAGGAGAATGTCCCTGTTTTTGAAATGACAGAGGATGGATACCCTGACAGGGAAGATGAAATTCCTGATGAAGCTTATCATATGGTATCACAGGTGAATTGGGAGGATGATGTTGTCTGGAGTGGGGAGGACATCAAGCACAAGGTGAGTTGTGTGTCTTGCTGTGTATCCTTCATACTACATCCTTACCCTTCCCTGTTGTCCCTTTCCTAGTTGCATCCAAATTACTGGCCTTATACACCACCATCATCCCTCTCCCTACCTGTCTGTGGCATCTCATATCGTCCTTCCTTGGTCTGTTCCCCATCTTCCAAATTCCTAATACTCAGTCATATGCAAAACCCTAGTGGATCACATATAATTCCCTGTCTCCATCCCTTCATTAATGGCTGGACCTGTCAGAATGTTAGAATTCCTCTTGCATTATCTTGCTCATTAAAAAAACAGGCAATTATAGTTTGTCTTTTATGGCAACAGAGACTGGAGTAAAAATATAATATCAGGTGTAAGTCCAGTGAAAACATGGGAAGTTATAAATTGTGATTTATGGCACATCATCTTGCTGCTAAACGAGTATATGTGAAGGGCTTGCCTTGACTCAAACAAGCCCTAAGATGATCAGTGGTGCAACTAGGTGGCTTTTAATTTCCTCATTTGTGAAATAGTTAACATGTATCTGTAGTGAAAGTAGATCTCACTCATTCATTCATTATCACCATCTAATTCAAGTTACTCTACAATTTCTGTTTGCTCAAATTATATTCTTACCTGTATTGCATTTTTAGACTGAAAATTTTTCATTTTCTATTCATAATGGCATTCAGGGTTGTAGTGCCTCTAGTCACTCTATTAGTTTTCTTGTAAATTTATTCATTTATTGCTCCTCAACTTTTGTCGTGCAATAATGTAAGAATTAATAGGACCCGTGGACCTGCTGTAATTGCAAAATCCTCATATCTTGGGACATCCATGATACTCTTGAATGTCCCATGACTTAGCTGTGTCCCCCTCCAACTGAAGTGTGAAAAAAATAAAGCAGAAAGACAGAAGCAGTTTAGAGGGTCACCACTGGACACCTCTGCTGGTTTGCCCTTTTAAGAATCCTGGTTGCACCATTGCTATATTCAGTATTGATACTCAACATTGGAATGCATGTGCCTGTGCATAGGAACAAACCCCTCGTTTCCCAATCCCTAAGTGCTCCACCCCATCCTACTTCTGCACCTCCTACATCCTCCATTTCCTGTCTCCCAAATGCATGACTCCATCCTCCCATGCTACTGTAAGTCATCCTCCATTGCCAGCACCATGGTCTCATTACCTTTGAGGACTTGATTTATCACGTTGTGTACCTGTGAATTTGTTCCTTCTTGTCAGGTTTTGGCTCGATTGAGCAGCAAGACGAATGCTGCTGGCTGGGTCCCAAGTAGCATGAATCGAACGGCTCAGACATTCAGTCAACCCGTGAAGGCATCTTCAGGTGGGAATTTCCCTCTTGCCTCTGGCCCAACTCCCATCCAAGGACCTCAAAAGCATGCTTCTCTTGGAAAGCACTTGTGAGCCAACTTCCATCCCTTATAGGCTTGCTCCATATATCACTCCAGATTTGTATGTTGGCCTGAACAGATTTGCCCATAGATGAAGTCAATTGGTCTTTTATGCCTATTTTGATCTTATTTCATCACATAAACTAAAGAGCTTGAACTTCCTTCCCTTTGGTCTCCTTTCTTGTAGAGGAGATGAGAATGATGACACATGGTATTCAATCTTCCCTGTGGAGAATGAAGAACTTGTATATGGAAGGTGGGAGGATGAAGTCATCTGGGATGCACAGGTCTGTTTTCTTCTCTCTTCAGATCAGAGAGAAGTCACTGGTAGTCCTGTCCTTTTTGTGTATCTTTCTGTCTGGTAGCATTTTCATTGTTCAACCAGAAATAAGTCAGTATTGCATGGATTGCAGTGAAATTTTATATGCAGAAATATTGTTACAAAATGGAGGCAGGCTTGGTTTCTGGTGAAGTTTATGTCAAAACATATATTTTCTATAATGAGTTTGGGATGTGGGTACATGTTATGGGTGATTTTTGCAATAGGCAAAACAATGATGCTGATTGCACTCCTTGAGCAATCAGCAAATGTCATCTGCTGTACCTTAAAAACATGTGACAATTTCGTTGAAATGATGCAGCCATAGGAATTAATGGCTACTTGACTATATCTTCACCCAAGCAGTATTCAGTCATGATTCAAACAGGTATGACTGACTGAGCTCTCACATCTAATCCCTCTTTTCTTACAAGGTGAGGTTGGCACCTGATCCTGCAATGGCATCTTCTGATGCCCTGCCCCCCCCCCCCTGCTATTGAGATGACAGTAACAATATTGTGCAATGGCTTCTCTTCGGTGTTGATGTTTTGCATTTTTATGGTCTTCACTAGTGAGCTGTTCAAACCCCAGCTCAGTACCCAAGTGACACCTGTGCCACAATCTGAGAGAAAGCCTTACAGAAATGAGGAATGGGTACATGTTATTGATCTGCAAAACATCCTCCTCAGAACTCCATTTGCTTATTGCATGAAAAAAAAAAACAAGAGAAGTGCCCACAATAGCCAAAATATTTGCTCATTTTGTGAAATATGTAATCATGCTATTTTTTGCATGCAATGCACTAATTATGCATAACATACACATATCCATGCAGTAGATGTTCGAGCAGAGAGGGAATGGATGTTGATTCAAATTCTCCTGCTTCCTCCCTTCCTTCTTTCCACCCTCCTATCACACCATTAAAAAATATATATTTATAAAATCATGAATAAAAAAATAAAATATTCAAGGAGTGGATTGCAGTGATCAAAATTCAGGCGCTGATTTCATTTTTGTCAATTCCTTGAAAAAATGAAAGCCTGAGCTAGCAAAAGAAGACTACTGAAATGAGGTTGCCAAGCCAATTTTTTTCATCTCTACTTTCCCACCTAATGTAGTATTTGCATGAATTCCAACCTGGATGTTTCTTCTGCCAGTCGATGCCTTACATCCCAGAGCCTAAAGTGGTGACATTGGACCCCAATGATGAAAATATAATTCTTGGCATCCCAGATGATGTCGATCCTAATTCGGAAAACCCCCAGGATGTCCACCGTCCCAAGACAAAGATCCCACATCCTCACGTTCGCAAGTCTAAGTATGCAATTCATGAATTTGCCCATGCATAGAGTGCTAGGGCTCAAGCATTGGAAGAGTGAACTGCATGAACTATGAATTATCATTGCCAGGTTGCTGCTTGGAAAAGCAGGAGTAATCACACAGATTGAGGAAGATTCTCCTCCTCCCACACCAAAGGAAGCAGACAAGGATCCATTCAATATATCTAATGATGAGTTCTACCTGCCCAAGGCGGTAAGTTTACTCTTATTCTGTGATGAGGACACCAGAATATCAGTTCTGGACACCATTATCTTGAACTGGAAGATCTCAAGAAAATTTGGGACAAAATTATTTCATTTTTATTAGGATTATTATTTTTTTAATATTGTAAGAAAGGAGGTGAAATGTGAACTAAAAAAAAAATAAGAGTAAATGTACGCCTTCAAAAGCTGATTTTACACATGTCTTGCTGCGTGTTAGCATAGACGTATGGTACATAGGGTCCGGAAGTCTTCTGTCATAATGGATCTGGCACAATGTAAATGCAGTTTCTGACATCATGGGCGCCTTCAAGACTGAAGTGCCAGGCTTAGAATATGTCTCGAGTTAATTTATGCCGTTTCAGGAACCCAGCCTGAAGTCGAGTGTGGGAGGGACATTGATCCAGCATTCGACCCCAGTGGTAGAGCTGAGAGCCCCATTCGTCCCGACGCACATGGGTCCACTTCGCCTGAGAGCATTCCATCGTCCCAGCGTGAAACGCTATTCCCACGGAGCCCTTGCTGCTCCGGGCCCTCACACGGTCGCCTCCCTCACGAAAGAGATCAAGAAGAAGGCCAAAGTGAGACGACCCTCATTTTTCGTGCCTTACGAACGGTATGCGAGAACGCAGATCGTATTCTCTTCGTCCAGATGCGAGAGCAGGAACGCTTGGCGTCGGGTGGTGGCGACATGTTCTTCATGAGAACCCCAGAGGATCTGACTGGGAAAGACGGAGAGATCATCCTCTGCGAGTACTCCGAGGAACATCCCCCGCTCGTCATGCTCGTAAGCCGTTTCCGTATCCTCGATCTCTTTCTCCAAGTTTCCAGTTTCACGTCGGAAGGGAACTTCTCGCAGGTGGGTATGTGCACGCGGATCAAGAACTATTACAAGCGCAAGGTCGGGAAGGACCAGGGCCCCCCAGAGTTCAAGTTCGGAGAGGTGGCATACGCACACACTTCGCCTTTTCTCGGTTCCATGCATCCGGCGCAGAGCATCCAAACTTTGGAGAACAACATGTTCCGCGCCCCCATCTACGAACACCGCAACCCTCCGTCGGACTTTCTCATCATTCGCACTCGCCATGGATATTGGATCCGAGAGGTGGAATCCCTGTTCACCGTGGGACAGGAGTGCCCTCTGTACGAGGTCCCTGGCCCCAATTCCAAACGGGCCAACAACTTCGTGCGCGACTTCCTTCAGGTGTTCATCTATCGGCTGTTCTGGAAGAGCAAGGACATGCCACGGAGGATCAAGATGGACGACATCAAGAAGGCGTTTCCGTCTCATTCTGAGAGCAGCATCCGCAAGCGACTCAAATTGTGCGCCGACTTCAAACGGACAGGTGTGCCTCTCTTTTTGGCTCGGTAATGATTTCCGTTGTGCAGTCGACTCCACTTTATTCGAAAGCCGATAATTGGAACATTCCGTAGTACGGACTGGATAAAAAAATAGTCCCTGCAGATACGTGTGGTCTGCTCACCATGAGTGTAAGCCGGGCGACTGCCCCTCTCGTTTTGGAGGTGGTGGAGTCCACCTTGCCGTGACGATGTTGAACGTGGAAGTGAATGTGTTTGAACGTGAGGGAGGTAAAAAAAAAATATATAGAAATTCCATTCTTCAAGACATTCTGAACAGTGGTCTCCCCTGGTGAGGCCCTCCCTTTATTAGAAATATGACATATATGGCCTAACTTCCGAAACACAATAACTTCGGGAGGCGGGAGAGGACAGTTCATAACATGGTATCACTTAGCGAAACTCAAAATTTACTTTTTTTTTCTTTGCCCCAATCCCCTTGTCTTGCCCTTTGATGAGGGGGTGGGGGGGGGGGGGCTCATTGGGCTGAGATATCTCGCAGGCCACTGACAATCTCATAAAGCCCACGTTAAAATTCTCCGTTCAATTCGAACGCCTTTAATCCGTAGCTCCCTCTAATACGGATGCATTCCCTAGCCCTCAGGGCCATTCTCATACGGTTAATCCGGGCGTCCGAGGATTACAGATGGGTGTACAAAAGCCACGGAGAATATGGGGTGTTTTTCTCTCTCGAAGGCGCATTCCTGTAGGCAGAAAAAAAGTGTTTTCACTCTTAAGCCTAAATGCTAAAACCTTGTTTAGTGAACGGTCCTTTAAGAATCCATGGATTCCTATGAGGAAAATGGGCTCCATAGCTTTTAAGGCCCCTTTTGTTAACACCTCTTTTAGTTAACGGTCATTTGAGAATACGTGTACTCCTACTGAGAGGAAATACTTAAGGATACGTTACCTTATTTTCCCATTTCCCTTCCTTTATTAACCCTTTTGACGCCGCGCGGCCACTCTCATTGTCACGGTTTTTCTCGGGTGAATCTTAAGCTTGGAAACAGGTTTAACTGCATATGCTCCATGTGTTCCCCCGCATTGTTCGTGCACATTTGCAGCTGCTTCACCCATTCACTTCTGTACGAATATGGGCACTTTTATGCACTTGGATTTTGCCGGCAACTTGGATACTGTACTGTGTGATAGGTTGTCAATCAGGATGCTTGTTGTTAAACACTAGCATTTTCTCTCAAAAAAACCTTGACCATGCATACGGATTATCTATCTCTTCTTTTGGCAGAGACATTGTTGGAGTGTTATTCACATGCTAGGAACAACGTCTGCAAACAACATAAAGCAAAAGAATTAGAAGTGTAAAACCTATGTTTCTAGACTTAGGATTCACCCTGTATTTCGGGACATGTGGCAGCAGTTGACTTATTGATATTAAAACCTTATAAAGTAGAAAGCATAGGTTATTGTTAACATTGGACAAAATTTTCGTTGTCTTAGCGCAATTCCTTATTTTCGGGCGGCCCGTTTAGTCAGCTTGCATATCCTTCCCGGGAAATTCCGCTTTGTCGCCTCAGGTTCGCAGGAAAAATATATATTTTTCCTACACTGCTCACATGGTAGGCGTAATGCTCATACTCCTTTCTTTGATTCTACAACCGTCTTTCTCCCCACTATCCCATCCATCCTTCGCATTTTCCCCGAATAAGTTTCTGTCGCTTATGAGCTCCATGAGCAATTTGGGAAAGGAAAGCCACGGAGCCTTTTATACCCAATAACAGAGCTGCCTCGGTGTTATTGCAATGTAGGAGATGTACAACACCCTGCTGTTATTGCAGAACGCATTCCGAATCCATTTGTTGTGCTTGGCAGAAGCGAAAAATAATATTTATTCGGCGTGAGCAATTGGTTGAATTCCCGTGCTTGTAAAAAAAAAAAATTAGAGATAAAATTAGGACATAATGAAGGAACTGAGTGGTTCTTTCTTCTCCTGGAAGAGAGGAGAGAAGTGAGTAGTCGCTCGGTCAGGTTCTCGATAATCAGGATGATGCGTTAATCCAGACAAATACACCGATCTCCTGAAGTCCTGATTAACTAGAGTTTATTGCACTCGAAGTTGACATCCTACGTCATACAAACCTCGATTTGCCACAGGAACGGATTCAAATTGGTGGGTGCAACGATCGGAATTCCGTCTGCCCACCGAAGACGAGTTGCGAGCGATGGTGAGCCCGGAGCAGTGCTGTGCGTATTTCTCCATGATTGCCGCCGAGCAGCGGCTACGGGACGCCGGATACGGCGAGAAGTTCCTCCTCGTCCCGCAGGAAGACGAAGACGAAGACAATCAGGTCAGTCGAGAGCCTTCTTTCTTCCGAGGACGAGACGAAGATCGTGGGAAAGACGGGTTGTTTTGGTGAAGCAGCTGAAGATGGACGACGAGATCAAGGTGGCCCCGTGGAACACGACCCGGGCGTACATCCAGGCGGCCAAGGCGAAATGCCTGCTCCAGTTGACGGGGCCGGCGGATCCCACGGGATGCGGGGAAGGCTTCTCTTACATACGCATCCCCAACAAACCCCAACAGAACAAGGAGGAGATCGTCCAAGAGAAGCGGACGGTCACGGGGACGGATGCCGATCTGCGGAAGCTCTCCCTCAACAATGCCAAGGCCCTGCTGAGGAAGTACGGCGTCCCCGAAGACGAGATCAATCGATTGAGTCGGTGGGAGGTGATCGACGTCGTCCGCACGCTCTCGACCGAGAAGGCCAAGGCCGGAGAAGAAGGGATGACTAAATTCTCTCGTGGGAATAGATTTTCGATCGCAGAGCACCAGGAACGGTAGGGCTGAAAGTATTTTCTTGCTGCCTCGCGTTAGAGTTTGTGATCGACTCGGTGCCTTGTTTCACGGTCCGTGTAGGTACAAAGAGGAATGTCAAAGAATCTTCGACCTCCAGAACAAGGTTTTGGCATCGGACGAGGTTCTCTCGACCGATGAAGCCTCCAGTAGCGAAGAAGATTCCTCAGACATTGAAGAGATGGGAAAGAACCTCGAGAATATGTTGGCCAATAAGAAGACCTCTTCACAGGTAAGTCTTCGGACTCGTGTACGCAACGATCGACATCGTATAGGTATGCTCATGCGGGAATTATTCTCAATCTGGACTGCAGCTATCGAGGGAGAGGGAAGAGCAGGAACGAAAGGAACTCCAGAGAATGCTCTTGGAAGGAGGAAATCAGGATAATACCAATGCATCTCAGGGCGAGGAATCGTCTAAGCGTTCCAAGCCGAAAGTGGAAGACGACAACTCTTCCATCGGAAGCCTGACCGGTCCCGGGAAGAAGCTGAAGATCGTGCGGACGTTTCGAAATCCGGAGGGGAAGACGTACACGAGGGTGGAGATCGTGCGGCACCCGGCCGTGATGGACGCGTACGTCCGGATCCGCACCACGAAGGACGAGAACTTCATCCGAGGCTTTGCGATGTTGGACGAGCAGCAGAAGGAGGAGATGAAGCGGGAGAAGCGTCGTCTGCAAGAGCAATTGAGAAGGATCAAGCGGAACCAAGAACGAGAGCGGATGGGTAAAACTCCTCCGACTCCGAGACCGAACGTCAGTCGACGCAAGGCCAAACTCAAGCCGGATCTCAAGATGAAGTGTGGAGCTTGCGGTCAGGTGGGACACATGAGGACCAACAAGGCATGTCCTCTGTATGCGGGACCCACTCCTTTGCCGCCCGTCCCCGTGGCCATGACAGAAGATCAGGAGGAGGAGCTGGAGAAGCAGGTCCTCGAGGACATCGACAAGGAGGGCTCCAGTGTGAACGTCGATGGTACCAAGGTCCGCTTCTCCAACAAAATCGTCAAGGTAAGGCATCTTCATCCTCCTCGTACTGTATTTTGGCATTCCTACCCCCTCTCGGCCCGATTTGACCTGGCTTTTGGGGGATGGGGAAGAAGAATTGGTGGTGGTGCATACTGGTGCGGGTGCACTCTCTTTTCATCTGGCCCTGGCCCACCCACCTCTTTTCCTCGGAAATAAAGAGAGGGGTCTGTTTTCCCGAAATACCATTGAACCGCTTCTTTGATGCCGCAGTTGTAACCTTTCCGAGAACTACGAAGCCCTTATGCGTAACATGTACCGCCATCACATCCCCTCCTTAGTTTGCTTCGCTAAGAAGTCTTTGCCTTAATTTGAATCTACTAGGTAAGTGGTCCCCAAACTTTTTGAGGCGAAGGCCTCACGGGCACTGGTCTATCTTGAGTGGGCCGCATCGAAAAATATGCAACATTTCTGCATGGTTAACCCTTAATCTGGCCGCTGGATTTCTTAGTCAGGCTACTTTAAATCAGGAAGTCCCATTTAAAAAAGAGCGAAAATCGAAAACTGCCTATTCCTGCGCATCCACACACACTGCCACTAATTGAAGTCAGGACTCGTGTAAACGTATTGGTTCTTGGTGCTCCTTTGTTACAATTTGTATTTTCGAATACTGTACTCATTTTTTCTCTCCTAAATATCACCATTTACTTGTGAGGTAAGACATTTTCTCTGCAGTATATGGATGCTCCAAATTTTAGGCAAGTTCAGCAGGTGCACGCCAAAACACATAAGCATCTAAACTTAAACTTCTATTGTACGTATCTGAATAGCTAAACAATGACAAAACTTTCTACTTTTGAGCGAAGAATTCCAAATCTGGAATAATAAAAAGTGCTTATCGCAATTACTCATGAGTGCCGGTTAAAGGGTTAAATGTGAAAAAAATCAATTGTTAGTCTTAGTGGGTCGCATAAAAGCATTAACTAGTTAATTAGGTAGTAACTAACTACTAACTAACTAACTAACTAGGTAATTAATAAATTAGTTTATGCTTTTATGGGCCACACTTTGGATACCGCTATTCTAGGTCCTTCATTGCTAATGCTAAAATAGGGGGGGGGGAACAGATTCAGATATCTAAATTGCTTTTCCCTGGTAAATAAAATGTTAGAATATGACATTAATCCAGATGCTCTTTTCAGAATTTGCGTAAAATGTTTCGTAGAGTGGCTTTCTAGATGTGAACGACTTATCTGAATTCATCACAGGACAGTAGTATCATCGCTGAAGTGACGAGAAGATTGTGTCGTATCGTTGTAGCATGCAGAGGAGCTGAAGAGACAGAGCTTGATGCTGAAGTTCCCCAAGGCTACGTTGAACCCGAAGAAGAAGCGCAGGCAGCTCCCTCAGACGGAGACCCTGGACTACCTGGAGCGGCACGCGAAGCCGGCGAACCGTCGCCGTATCGATCCCGTCGTCGCCCTCTCCACAGTCCTGGAAAGCATCCTCAACGAGATGCGAGCGGTGAAGGACGTCGGGCCCTTCTTGCATCCGGTGAACCCCAAGATGGTCCCGGACTACTTCCGCATCGTCCGAAATCCCATGGATCTCCAGACGATGCGCGAGAAGTTGCATCGACGCGAGTATCAGAGTCGCGAGGAGTTTCTCCAGGACGTGAAGCGGATCGTCGAGAACTCGGCTCTGTACAACGGGGAGAAGAGCCAGCTGACGGGATCCGCTCGGAATCTCCTGGAATTGTGCGTGCGACGCTTCTCGGAGAAAGAAGAGCGCCTGATGAAGCTGGAGAAGGCCATCAATCCCCTGTTGGACGACGATTCCCAGGTTGCCCTCACCTACATCCTCGACAACATCTTGAGCGGCAAGATCAAGAGCATGCCGGAATCCTGGCCGTTCCTCAAACCCGTCAACAAGAAGAACGTGAAGGACTACTACAACGTGATCCAGAAACCGATGGACCTGGAGGCGATCGAGAGGAACGTCAAGGGGCACAAGTATCACACGGGCTCCGCCTTCCTCGGCGACATCGAACTCATCTACGAGAACAGCCGCAAGTACAACGGGATGGATTCACCCTTCACGCAGAAGGCCCTCGCCATTTACAATGTGGCTAAGGAGAGCCTTGCACAGGTTAGGCCATGGCACCATTTCTGCATCGTGCCACCGACTTTTATTCTTCGTATATGATGTTATTATGAAGAAACCACCCAATCTTGTATGGCCATAACTATAGAAGGGACTATTGAATTCAGTTGATATTTAACGGAGAAGTTGATGGACCTATATGGCTTTATACCATTCCTGCTAGACGGCGGTATGCTCAGGTAAACGTTGAAGAATTATAGTAAATAGTGTAATGACGGGGAATGCAACTGCTCGATTTATAGTCTGTCAGAGCAGTAAGTGTTCAAAGTTATCCGACTGCACGACTGCATGGAGCCTGTGCACAACACCAAGATGCATGCATCAGCCTCATGCATTCCAAGCGTCTCAATTTACCTACATCGACCAAACGCTCTAAGAACATTTTGAAATTGCCATCAGAGATTTCATGTAGCCTCTGCCTCGCAGTTAGACTCTCAGCAATGACCCCATAGGGATGTGTCTTGAGGAGAAGAGAAAAGGAAACTGGCGTCACGAACGCTTGCTTCCTCCATTCCACGGGCGTTCGGAAACTTTTCTCTGCAATACGTGTTGCTTCTTCCCATGGCTTTGAGAATTGTATCGATTTGCCTACACATTCGAGAGTTCCTGTTTCACGTCTCGATGAAATCCTTCTGGATGATCGTTTTGACCGATTAATAAGACCTCCGTCCACCTATAAATTGGAGCAATAGGCAAGTTTTCTAATAAATGTTCATCCTGCACCCTTGAAATTCAAATCGATTTCATGGTACACTGCTACGAGCTTGTGTTCCAATTATCATAAAGATCGCTCAACTCCTTGGAGATTATTTTTTTGGGCGATGTGTGTACCTGGTGCGTAAGTAAAGAGCGAATGACATGGACATCTTCGGCACTTCACAGTTTCTTCCTTTTTTCTTCTTTTTTTTTTTTTTACCAGTGTACACCCTTTGTTACTTATTTTCCAATCCGTTCCACTCCGTAACGAGCGATAGTGATGGACATGGTTGTGGCGCTTTGCAGTATGAGGAGTACATCGGCCAGCTGGAAGTGAAGATCCGTGCAGTGCAAGAGGAGGCATTGGATGCAGCAGAGATGGATTCCACGTCCAACCTGGACGAAGACGCATCGTTCCGGGGTGCCCCGTCCACCCCCGGAGGAGAAGAGGACTACCAACTCGGCCTGGAAGACTACGAAGACGACGAGGAGGAGACGACGATGGACGACTACGGGGACGAGGACTACGAGGCCGCTCGGGACCCGCCGCGACCCGCTTCTCCCATGGACCTGGCTCGGGATCTGCACGTCTCTCCGGAGGGATCCGATGCCGAAGACGTCGAGGTTCCTCCAAGGGTCAAAGAAGAGGAAGACGAAGATAGAGACAAGCTCGGCACCGATCTCCACGTCTCCGAGTCCGAAGACGACGAGGACGAGCGCGCCGGCGGCATATGGTTCTGAATCCACTCCAAATCGTGGAACCGAGTGGCCGAAAGAGAAGAAAAAGTGTCGTTAGAGTGCTCTTTTTCCATTCCTTGTGTACACAGCCTTGTCGTGATCGATTTCCTTTTTAATTATCTCCTACGAGAATAGAAACTAAAATTATTTGGAATAAATATCCCGTGAAGTGATTGCTGCATTGTCGATCGAAGCGATCCGTTTCACGAAGAACGACCGAGATGTGCCTGTCGGCTCGGCTATTTACGCCATTATTTACACCATTAATCCAGCCGAGGGACCTGAATGGAGCAAACCGACGAAACGAGAAATGGGGCCAGATGTCCAACATTCGGCAAACATCTCTTCGCGGATCCCAATAGCTGTGTTCCCCTTTTGTTCTCGATGGACGCAGTGTCGTTCGAGTTTTCCATGGTGGAAATGGAACCGCAACTGCGATTCTTCCTGCTCCGTACCGTTCGTTCTTCTAAACTATTAGCTGAACCGATCGGGAGGGCCCTGGGAGCCGGGTGCAGATGTATTCACACCTTCTGTGCGTTGCTGTCGAACGTGGTCACTCGCACGCCACCTAGCGTAAATGGCCTAGGCTACGGGGCGGTAGGCCTCACGTTGCGTTAGCCTTACCCATTCTTAGATGACGCAGCGAATGGGACTGTTTTTCTCTCGGAGCGTCTCGAGATTTCGAGCCGAGACGACCGATGGTGCGAAGCATCGGTCTTGTTTACGACGGAAGGCATCGAGGGAAGAGAAACGATCGCGCGGAGGGGACCGTAAGGGATGAAGCGAGAGGAAAAGAAGTGGGAGGGAGGTGTATAAACACGTACGAGACGTAATCGCCGGTGGAGAAGAATGGGGGGGCTTCGGGTTCTTTTCGTGTGGCCGGAGGGGCCTGGACGCAGACACGGATTGGAGGGCGGTCGAGCCTCCAGGCTTCATGCCATCCCGTGCGGGTAAAAACTCCTCCCCACTCCGCCCTGCTTTTCAGTCCGGGCCGCGTGAGGCTGTGATGCGAACGAGGAAACCGTGCCGACGGTCCGTGAGTGTCTCGCGTCCACGTCACGTCGCGCCACGAGGTAGCGAGTTCGAGGAACGCCCCATCCGTTCGCTCCTCGCGAGCGGACGAGGGTCTCACTCACCGATTCCTTCATCGTTCCGTAAGTGGACGAGATACCGAAAGATGACCTTCCCCCTTGCCACTCGTAAACGTGCGGTGATGGTCTCTTTGGGGCATCTCGGTGCGGCGGGTGACGGTTTCTTTGGGGCATCCCCGTCGGTGTGGCTTTGGCTTGTGACCCGTGTCGGAAGATCACACCTACTTCGCGCCCCGGCACAATCTTTTTTCACCCTCTCCCTCCCTTCCTCCCTCCCTCTCTCTCTCCCTCTCTCTCTCCCTCTCTCCCTCTCTCCCTCCCTCTCTCTCTCCCTCTCTCCCTCTCTCTCTCCCTCCCTCCCTCCCTCTCTCTCTCCCTCCCTCCCTCCCTCTCTTCGGCCTCGCGAGACTCAACTTGCGCGTACGTGCACCTAAACTACACTAAATGAATGCATGGTTTCCTCATAGCTTCACGTCCACGACATCGGCGTGATGTCTGGGAGCCATTGGATTACGTGACGTTCGAGTTGTTTCGGGGGCGTTTGGCGAGAATCGCCTAGCTAGTTTCCAGTGAGCGTGTGTCTAGCTTTGGTCTCGGGAATCCATTTCGGCTCGACCCCGAGCTTCAGATTTTGCCGCGGTCCCGTTCTGGCGCAACAGCACAACTTTTTTTCACTATTAGAAAAAACCGGTTCTTACTCTGGGAGATTTATTACTGACAACGGGAAAACGGATCCTTTTTTGTCCATTTCCGCCGATTTCCCTTGCATTTGGGGCAGAAAAAGCCGGAAATGAGGGAGCGAGAAAAATAAATAAATAAATGACCGTCCCCCCCGTCGTGTTGAATTCCGCAGCGAACGATCCCGGATCGTAATTCGTAGGGCTGCCGGAAAAGGTGCAGGTTCCCCACGAAAAGGTGCGAGTCCCGCCACGGAGTCTGGGCTCCGGACGAGACGACGACTTGTTGCAACCCTGCCTTTTTAGTCCATGCAACCGGTGCCTAAAGTGCGCCTAAAATGTCCTATGACAGTGCAAGGTTGCGAGGAGACTGAATACAAGGATCTGGGATCCCAGATGGAGAGAGAGAGAGAGAGAAAACGAGAGAGAGACTTGTCTTCAGTCCATGAATGATGAGGGTGTCGTCACGTGACAGGACTTGTCTCTTGTCTTTCGTGTCTTCTCGCCCCGCTTTTCTCTTTTCTCGCTGTCCTCTCTCTCTCTCTCTCTCTCTCTCTTCCTTCCCGTTCGATTGCCAAAACAGGATCGACTTTATTTTGGAATCCGTGTTTTCATTCCGATGAGAGATTGCCGAGGCGCCAAGAAAAACAAACTCGAAAGCGACGGATAAATACGCAAGAGGAAGCGAAAGGAGGGAAATGGGATTCGCGTTTAAGGAAGACGGGAGGAATCGGAGGAAGACGGGAGGAATCGGAGGAAGACGGGAGGAATCGGAGGAAGACGGGAGGAATCGGAAGAAGACGGGTGGAATCGGATATCCCCTGTGCACCTCGTTGCGAGGCCGAAGGAGGAACGAGCCTTCTCCCCGCTTCTCCCTTTTCGACCCCTCGCGCGAGACCGAGACGGAGATATCTTTTGCGTCCCGGGACCTCGGCAGAAGCCGTTCTTCGTCGACGAGATTTCGGAGGAAAAGGTTAAGACGTGCCGAGTGGGATGGGGGAGGGTGTGGAGGGTGGATTCGGGATGGGGATGATGGGGATGATGAGCGGGAGCCAGGATTGGCCTCGGTCCAATCCTCCTCGACTGGCATTTAATGGCTTCCTTCCTCCGCTCGCCTTCAGTTCGGTTCCTGCCGTGTCAGCGCCGGGGCGTGCGATCCGGATCGAGTGCGTGCGCGCGTGAGTGCGTCTGCGTGCGTGTGACGTGCACCCGGGAGTACGTGTGGTATCGATCTCGATGCAAGCCCGTCTATCTGTTACAGGGTGAGAAGAGATCAGAGGTGGAGGTGATGCGATGGCTTCGTGGATGAGAACCGAGAGACTCCCGCTTCGCTTTCTTCTCGTCGCCTTCTATGGAGGTCTTCCCGCTTTCGTTCTTTCGTCTCGTTTAGTCCTATTCTTTCCCCCCGCCGTTCGCGACGCAGGGATGCTTTTAATCGTCGAGGATCCCACGCCGATGAAAGACCGCCCGCAGGATAACGAGGCCGCACGATCGCTTTCATCGGGGCCGTCGTTCGTGACGTCGGCCGTACGCGAAACGACCGGTGCGATCGTCCGAGCGCCGAGGCCGCTTTCGATTCTTAGCGATCCGACGAGTAGGGTCGAGCACTCGGTCGTGGCCGCATCCGGTTCTATGGCCACTTTCTCGAGGGCACTCGAGCAAGGATTACGGATTTTAAGTCATAAAATTAATTTGCAAAGGACTGTTTCTACTAAGATTTTGAGCGATATGGTCTAAACGTTCCGTGCACGTTTCACCCTCTTATATTGTTTACACGCGATTAAATACGGGATGGCCAAAAGACGGATCCGCAATTTTAACCATCTCCCTTTCGGGGCCACGCGATAGATTTTATTTGAATATTCTTTCAAGCGGCTGTTCCTGATAATGATTGTGAGACCATTCCAAGTCCAGTCTCGAGGCAAGATTAAAAGGAAGAATTAGGTCTATGATCTGAAGTGTGTGCCTCAGAAGCATGACCTCTCGACCTCTCGACCTCTTGCGAAGGTGAAGAGTCCCCTGACATCCACGAAGAGGAAAGCAATTACCTTTCCCCTCGATGTTACGCCGACCGATCTCGTGTAGCTTTGGTCCCAAACCGTGTCCATTTGGTCCGATATCTTGTTTTTCTAATGCTTGCACGAGAGATAAACATTATATATAACCTTCACCTGATTTATTTTGTGGTGACCATAGGAGGCGATTTTACTCAAAAAATAATAACAATTTTATGATTTGTTTTTGTAACTTTGGCTTGTTGATGTCATTCATCATTAATTTAAGGCTCATTAAAAGCTGAAACGACACATGAGATTAGCTAAGGATTGAGATAAAATGGGATAATGAAACGGAGAAGTGCCTTAAAGTGGCCATAGGTGGGACCTCGGCCTTGCCCCGACCCGAAGGGTTTGGGGCGTGAGCAGACGAGACCTACAAGTTCCATCACTTTCCTAGAAATGGTATCATTTCGCAGAAAAAACAAACAAACAAAACAAGTATCTTCGGTGCTTGTTTCGAGAAGAAAAGCCCTGCGCGACATAGCCTTTTTGTATGAAACCTTTGCCAAAATAGTTTTTAAAAGTGAAGTGGATCGTCTGACTGACCCAGGTCCGGATCTGGTCTGGATCTGGTCTGGATCCGGTCTGGATCCGGTCTGGATCCATTTCGGTGATGGCAGCAGCCGGTTTTGCGCTGCTCGAAGCGGCTTCTTTCGGTTCGCTGCCGATGGTTCTCGCTATTTCTCCTTGTCGGGAGCATGATGAAATGGAAATGGCTGTTTCACGGAGTCCATTTCCGTCCCTAGTAGCGGTCCCTCGCGAATGAATGCAACGCCGATCTGCCCTTCCGTTCCTTCCCCCCCCCCCCCCCCCCCCCCCCCCTTGTTTTCATGGAAAATACAGCCTCCTCCCTTTGATCGACGTCGTCCACGTTTCGATGCCTGATTTCCGTTGCCGAAATCATAAACGGCGCCGACACCGTGCGAGCTTCTTTCAACCGTGAAAGTCTTCGACGTCGTTCGTCTCGGCCCGTCCTAGCAGGCCCCGTCGAACAAACGTTCTCGATACGAAACGACCCTCCTGGCTAAAACCGGTCATTCGGCGAAGCGACTCGTCTGCGAAAAGGGGCTTTCGGTGAATCCGTTTTCTACGAAACGCCCCGGTTCCGACCCGAATTCCCGATCTCTCTCCGATTCGATCGGAAGAATCCTATAGTGCGAGGCACTAACGAGGGCCTCGCACGCCATCTTGCGTGACGAGCGGAAGCGGAAGTGCAAATTCGAAATTCGTTGAATCGGGAAGAATAATCTTACGTCGAGTGCCGAATAGCGTATTTGGGTTTTATTGCGAAAGCATGCGGCAATAGCGATCACGGTCGAGTTTCAATTAGAGTTTCCCCCCTACCCCCCCTTCCCTTTCCAGGATTGGGATGCGTCCTGCCGTACCTGGGAGTGCACTTATCGGGTGTTAAGGGTGTATCGGATCAGGAGACGACGCTGGCGAATGCCCTGCCGGCTCTCTTGGTGATCTTGGGCCCGCCGGTGGCCGGTCTGGCGGTGGACAAGGGCTTGGGCCGTCCCAGGGGATTCCTGGCGGCTTCCCTCGTCCTCACGGGAATCGTGACCCCCCTCCTCCTGCTCGTTCCGCCCTTGGGCAAGCACGCCCCGCGACCCCCGCGGATCTCGTTGACCTGCTCCGCGGAAGGAGCCGCGGTGGTCGTGGAGAGATGCGCCGGGAGGGGATGCCTCGACAACAAGGGCGGTGCCATCCTCTTCGAATTCCTCGTCCACGGCTGTCGCTTTCGATGCGGGGAGAATTCCACGTTCTGGGGTTACCCGCACCTCTGCACGGTGGGGTCGTCCGGATCGGACCTGTGTCGGGTGATGAACCCGGACCCGGCCCTCGAGACTCCCCTCCGCATCCGCTCTCCCTTGTCGCGTTACGTGAAGCGAGAGGATTCCTGTCTCTACCCCTTGGTCCTCTATTACCTCAACGGAGAGGAATATTCGGGACTGAAGTGTCGGCAACTCGCCGACGATTGCTCGGTGGAATGCGACGTGGACGGAGAGATGAACGCGACCCGACGCGTGGGATCCCGCTCTCTCGGCTCCACCGCCGAACCGGAAGCGGATCACCTCGCCGACAACGTGTTGACGGAGCCGATCTGCGATTCCCGTCCCGTCTTCCCCTGGGCCCTCTGGATCTACCTGTTCCTGAGGACGTTCGTGGAGCTGCTCCCCGCCACCGCCTTCGCCTTGCTCAACGCCGCCGTGCTCCGATCGGTGGGCGGAACGAGGATCGACCGAGAGGTGGTGTGGGGCCTGGCCTCCATGGCGGGCTTCGCCTCCCTTTGCGGCTACCTCTTGGACTTCCACGCCGAGGTGTTCGGAGTGCAAGACCTGGCCCCCAGCTTCTATTCCCTCGCCGTTCTCATGCTTCTGGCCGCCATCCTCACGGCCGCCCTCCCGCGTCACTGCTCCAAGACGGGTGCGGAGCACGGGAAGAGGAAATCCGGCTGCGGGACGGCGAGGGATGCCAGCTTCTTGGGGATCGGAATCTCTGCCGTTCTCCTCGGGATGTCCCTCGGCGTCTTCCAGATGATCCTTCCCGTGGATCCCATCCCGATATTGACGGACTCGCCGCATCTGAGCAACGGCATTTTGGTGGCTTGTGGAGTCCTTCCGGCTCTTCCTCTCATGCTTCTCTTCACTCCGCTCGTCAAAATGGCCGGGGAGGCACATCTCATCTTTGCTGCCTTCGCCATCCAATCCATACGCTTTGCAGGTCTCCCTTCTTTTTTTTTTTCTAAACGTCGTGGGTTTCTCTAAGACGCGATCGGGGATTCTTACGAATTCAATGAAATTTAAGTATAGAAGCCATTGATGCAGGAAGGGGAGGATTCTTTTATGGAAAATGTTATGGCGTAACTTCTCCAGCATTCAATCTTTGGTTGCGTCATTGTGAGAAACTTGCGATGATGTGCATTCGCTCGGCTGCTTCAACAGCATGATGTAAATGAATCAATGAAGCGTTCATCATCCTCATTCAGGATACTCGTACCTGGAAAGTGGAAGCTATTGGGTGATGGGTCTGGAGGCGCTATCGTCGGTCTCCCATTATGTAGCCTGGTGGGTCCTGGTGGTCCTCACATACAAAACTTTCGGTCACTCGTACGCTGCCACCTCACAAGGAATCCTCACTGCGCTCCATTTCGGCCTCGGTCAGATTCGTCAAAGTCTCTTGTGATATGTGAACGACACTTTTCTTACTTTATAAACTAAATCTAGTTTATTACATTATTTTGTTACTTACAGGTCTTTCCCTTTGTGAAGTTGCTCTAAAGTTTTCTTCAAAAGCACGACTTTTCATACTTTCAAGAGATTTCAATAGTATACGTGTTTTCGTGGTAGGTTCACCTCCCAGAGCCATCATGAAAGAATGCGCCGTCTTTCAGGTCGTGGGCTAGGGGTGCTCCTGGTAGGATTCGGAGGTTCCCAATGGGGTGCCCGGCAAACCCTGCGAGGTGGATCCGCGGCCTGTGCAGGGTTCTCCTTTCTATTCCTCTGCCTCTATCATCTCTACCTCAAGATCAGGGGTTGGTGGAGACAAAGGAGGTTTCATCATCGTTACCAATCTCAAGGTGATTCCATCCCGTCTCCTCGATAATTCGGAATATAGCCCGCTGGTCAGAATCTGTTTTGTAGAAAATTCTACTTTTAACGTGATGCGACGACTTCGCTGATTCTGATTTAAAGAAGTAGACGTAACGTGCTCTAAAATTATTCTTTTTTTCACGTGAGTGGCGTGGAAATTACATAGAATAATGATTTCCTCCGAAGGTAATCGATTAATCCGTTCGCATAAAACCAACTATCGTTGCCTCGTTTGGGATGCCGATGCATCGTCGTGTTTCCCCCATTCTCTGTGGCGAGGAAAATCATCGTATCTACCTGGATGAAAGCTGTGATAATTACGTGGAAATTTTCTTGATGTTGGTCGAAAATCAAGGGGACCATGAAGGGAAGGGGGATAAGGGAAATCATACCCCAAGAGAAAAAATGTTAAAATGAAAGAAAAGAGGTGAACATTCTCGAAGGAAGAGGTTGACTCCGGGACGCACTCTCCCGCTCACCCTTGAATCCCTTTCCCCTCGAATGGGCTCTTCATCGCCCTCCACATTCCACCCTTTTCAATTTTCTGGTTGCGCCCCTCATCGAGATGCCTCGAGAATTTAAATGACTCATCGCTTTTCGTTCGTATCCTCTAATTTCCGGAGTCATGCTCGATCGATCGCGAAGTCGAGCTCGATGCGAATTTCTCTACACTCGAGCAGAAATGAGAAGTTTCGGTGGATTCGTGCCTTTCAGGTGCAGGGGGAGGCGTGACCCCCGTGGTGACCCCCGTCGTGACCCAGGGAGCTTCGGGATACTCGAGACTGGGTACCCGATCCGCTTCGCCTGTCCGCCTTTAGTCGACTCACGTCCGAGCATTTCGACTCGAAAGAGCATTCAGACGTCTGTTGTGATATCCCTCTTTCTTGCCCGCTTCCCGAGTGTTCGCAATAAAGCCAAATCGGCTCTTCCGTCTCCTTGCCTTTCTTTCGCCGAGACACCGGGAGTCCGAACGACAGACTCCTCGTCGCCCTAAATTACGAAGAAAACGGATAGAAAACGATATCTCGATTCGTTCCCATCGGAAAAACGTCTGAGACGTACGTTTAGAGCTTTTGACCCCGAGACCAGAGGTTAAAAGAGAGGTGGCTTCGCGGATTCCCTCATCCCAGATGACACACGTGCATCGTCTGAAGGCGTCATTTTCCTGTAGTCATCCGAACGAGGACGGATGAACCTGCGGTCCAGAGTCCGCAGTACCCGGTGTCTCCGTCTCGGAACTCAAATATTCAAGGTACTGTCAAATGAAAGCGATTCGGTGTTCCCTTGTCTCATGGTGCCCGCTGTATCATTTTCATCTGACCGTACCTTGTAAATGTGAAAATCTCAGGTTTAAGCCTTTCGGGTGGTGGTGGGAACGATATCTCCGATCCTCGATCGTAATTCAGATGGGACGAGAAACTTTTCTCATCTTCCTATAGCTCTCGCTTCATCCATCGCTTCCGTATGTTCCTTTAGAGAAACACGAAGGGAAATCGGTGCGAAGGATTTCGAAGCGCATCGTCTCCGCCTTATGAAAAAAAATATTGCTAATGCGATAGTGAGAAATGCAATCTAGACGTTGCCACTCGAAACCTGGTCGTCGGTGCGGAATTTCGAAATTCGGAGGAAGGAATCAGTGAGACGATAGACAGTGACACCCGTAATCGCCGCTAGATGGCACTGGAACGAAATACAATTCGAAGGAACGTAGGAACCGAGCGGAAAGTAGAACGGATGGAGAATACGTGCTGCTCGATTAGCAACACGATAAAAATTGATTGGACGCGACTCGTTTAGAGTTCCGACAATCACATCCGCATGGGAGAGAAAGGAAGTAGACAAGTTGCCAATTTTCGAGCAACCCAATGCGGGGCCGATTCGTCTGGAAGCAAGCACTTTGATTAACGTGTGCGAAGGGCATGGGTTCGTGCACGTTGAACAGGTGGACGATTCCTGATTATTAGAACCATTAAGAAATCGAAAAACACGAAATAAACGCGAGTTTATTATTTTTTAAATCGTGGATTCGGTCTTTCTCGTTCGATTCGTGATACGGGCGGGGTCTTTCAAAAGTCACGCAACCCACTATATACTTTCTGAAAGACCGAAATCGAGTATCCGATGAAAACTGGCTTAATATCGAAGGAACACATCTCACTCGTGAATATAAGTGCGATGGTGCGTGTTGGAAGTGACCACCGCGTTCCTACAAACACATTGCGACACGCTTGCGCATGTCCGCGGAAACATGATGTAAGGTCGCACGAGTAACGCCGGCGATGGCCTGTGCAATGTTTAGCTTCGAGGTCTTCGAGTCTCTAGAATCGCTAGCTCATAACTCTTACCCCACAGTAAAACCGTCAGGTGACGTGAAGTCTGGAGACCGTGGCGGCCAGAGATCCTTGTTCGACTCACGCTCCCCAAGGAATTCATGAAGCATCTCCATCGTTGAGTTCGCGGTGCGAGCGGTTGCTCCGTCTTCTTCATGCCACGAGTCGCGTTCGTCGATCTCTAACGCGTCGATCGTTTGTCGAGTGACGTGTCGATGACGTTCAGCATTTGCAGTTTCTGCAAAAAACACGGGATCGACGATACGTGATACGACAGCCGACGCGTATGTGTTCCGGTCCCAACGGCACTCGTTTGCGTACGGGGTCGTGCGACTTTTGTGCTCCCCCGTAGTTGCGAGAATCTCCCCGATCCAAAGGCAGTCGAAGGACACGTTCCCGCGACTGTCATCGCACTGTCAACCGTTCCGGCCTTGAAACGGAGTGATGGATGTTTCTCCGATACGAGGCCGGGCTCCGCGAAATGTTCTCGACGGCGTTCGGCTGCACACACGAACCGGTAGGATGTTTATCTTTCGCAGAGGAACGGCATTCGGATGCTGGCAGAGATGAAGTGCAACGTGCAAAGGACGGAGGCCGCATCGGGCAGGGATCTCGTGCTCCCGAACCCCAAATTCTCCATCTCTCTTCGCTTCGAATGCGATACGACGTTCTGACACTCACCGATCGGCGGGACGAACGGATGACCGTCCGCGAATGTCGATGGCAGCCCGGAAATATCGATCGGGAAGTCTGCCGTTATTTCATTTCGAGCCGATGCTCCGACCGAAACGATTTCCGTCTGGAAGTGCATCCGGTCGTTCGACTTCGGTCTGTCGAACGTGGCTCAAGAATGGACTCTCTCGAGTCATTTTTCTACAATATCCAGGTTCAGAAAGTGATATATCTATCCTTGGACCGATGTTTCGATGTTAACCCTCTTCCTCTTCGAAAGAAAGCTCGTAAATGTGCCAGAGACCAGGAAGTGCCATAAACGAGAGACTTCCTGGCTGACGCATTCCCGTGCTGCCGTTTAACACGTGGATGCAGGGATTGCGCTTACGCACGGATTTCCAACGGGGCACGGAAGAAAAACCGTTCCGTGTCTAAACATCGACACGACAAGAGATCGACATGCCAAAACATAGACATGCCAAAACATAGACACGACGAGACATCGACGTGAAAAAACATCGACACGTCGGTGCATCGACGTGACGAAACATCGACAGAATCCTTCATATGCAGGAATAGAGACGAGGAAAGTACCCCGGAAAACAGGAATAACGTCCACGCCATCGTATTGTGTCCTCGCAGAGTTATTTACCCCTGCAGCATACATTGATAGAAAAAAAACTCATGTAAGGTAAACTCATGTTTGGGCCGATTCACCACAACACACGTTGGCATTTTCCCACGGCCTGGTAAGTAGCCGATCGATCATGGATTCGATTATTTTTTAAATCCGAGTTTTCTTTTATCGTGAAAATATCCCCCGAAGTCGCTTTCTTTTCGAACGGCTTTTCTTCGTTTCGCGGCTCGTGGTCTTTTTTCATCGCTTTTGGAGCAGCTCGCCTCGATGGAAAATGCATCGTCGGCTTTGTTCAGGTCTTCCGAACGCATCATGGTTTCAGCCATATCGCGATTCCCTTAAATGGAGGTCGACTCGAGAAAGACTCCAGGGCAGTGGCGTATTTTGGCTGAAAGGTGAAAGGGGGCAGGGCAACAGAGTGGAGACGTCAAACCCCACCTG